GTAATATTACAATCTCTGCACCATGCCAAAGGACATTCATTCTGGTTTATTTTTCAGGGGAAATGGATTGGTACTTGAAGCAAAAGTTTTATCACATGTCTAAGCCTATTCTAAATTAACTGGACAAAAATGCAAGCACTTTTCCTAATTTGCTCCTGTACATTTTCTTTTAAAAAGAGTTCAGAGTATACATTTTGACCTATCATATGTTTAGCTTTGTCTTTAACTTTTTAAAAAACATTCTCTTTTCCCATTTTCACCCTTTACTACATTTTAAAAATAGTACAATAGTGTGTCAGCTAATCGTAATTTTCCATTTGACTGGACTAAAAGACTTCCTTAGAGATGATTGGATCTTAGGGTGCCATACTCATCAGGATTTATCCATCAATGAGTTCATAAATGAGTGTCCTAGAATGTAGGGCCTGTTGGAGGAATGTAGCACATGGGAGGTTTTTCTTTAGAGGCTGCATCTCTGGTTTGTGCTCATCCCCTGTGTTATGTTTCCTGGTTGCCATGACCTGAGCAGATTTCCTTACCACACTCTTGTGCCATGATGTTCATGTCCTGAAGTCAGCCAGCTGTGAACTGAAACCTGTGAAACCATGAACCAGATAAACCTTTCCTTTTGAATTGGAAGTATCAGGTATTTTATCCCACTAATGGAAAAACTGACTAATACAATTGCATGTGTCTATTGGGTCATGATGCTGATTTAACTCTCCTGCTCATTCTCTTCTCTTTCCATTTTAATTTTCAGGCAATTGCATTTGGTTCCAGAACCTTAAATGCCATTTATATGTGACTCCTAAATTTCTATGTCCAGCTAGAACTACTCTCCTGAATTCCAAATCTTTATTCCCAACTACCTAGTAGATATTTCCACTTGAATGCCTCACATATCTCTCAGTACTTCCATTTCAAAGCCAAACTCTTATAGTCCAGCATGGTGACACACACCTGTAAACCCCAGAACTCAGAAGACTGAGGCAGGAGGATCCCTATGTGTTCAGGCCACTCTAGGCTACATAGTGAATTCAAGGCCAATCTAAACTACATAGGCAGACCCTGCCTAAGAAAGAAAAAAAGAAAGAAAGAAAGAAAGAAAGTAATTCATTGACCAAGGGTAGAGAGAATAAAGCCACGCCAGCAAGCAAGCCCAGTCTGGAAACCAGCGCCATGCATGGGCCACCAGTGGACTGAAACAGACAGACCCCAGCTTCTTCCTGTGATTCAGCACCATTCACAGACCAGTGGTAGAGAGAACAAAGCCACATCAGCAAGTAAGCGCAGTCTGAGAAACAATGCAATGCAATGCAGCCATTGTTGATTCCCTATGGTCTTGTTTTGGAAGTCCTGATGCCAGACTGGAACAGACAGACCCCAGCATTTCTAGAGCATGGAGTGGCAAACCAGAAGTACCCTGTGCCCTGCCATAAGTGATAGGCTTATCTGGAGAAACACAGACTGTGATGATAGATAGAGGTGAAATATAATTGGATGCCTATGGTTCTCCGGTGTTTCACTAACACTGCAGGTTTAGGGCCAGTGGTCTGATCATAGCCTGAGAGCATAGTGGTACACAATGTGGCACCTAGGAGGGGATCACCTTCTGAGGATGGCAGCCATTGTTGATTCCCTATGGTCTTGTTTTGGAAGTCCTGTAGCATTTCTATTGTTTTGTTGGGTTGGGTTTTATTCTCTTATGTTTTGTCTGATTATGTCAAATCTGATGGCAGGATCAGCTATTTCAAAGATAGCAAGATATATTATGGTAGCAATTTTGGATTTACTACAGGCTTGTTTTGAAGTCCTTTATTGTTTTGTTGTTATTGTTTTGTTGTTATTGTTTGTATTCTGTTCTGTTCTGTTTGATTTTTATGATGTCCAAAGTTATCTGCAGCTATTTTGAAGACAAAAAGGCATCATGATAACTATTGTTGATTTTGTAATGTTTTGAAATCCTATATCACTTACACTGGTTTGTTTTGATTTGTTTTAATCTGTTTTATCCTCTTTACAATAAAAAAAAGAAAGAAAAAGAAAAAAGTCAAACTCTTGAACTTCCCCTCATCCTTTTGGTCCTGTAGCTTCTCTGAGAATATCTGTGGCAATCTCATCCTTCTATTTGCTCAGACCCCAAAATGCTGGTCTTCCTTTCTCCCTTTCCTTCTTTCTCCCTTTCATTCTCTTTCTTTCATTTCAGCAAATTAGCCATATAATAAATTATCACCTGTATCTACACTAACTTCAAAATCCAAATGCTTTTCATCATCTCATCGTCCTGGTTCAACATCATCATGGCAGATCCGGATCCATGAGAAACCCCTGTCCGATCACCTTTCTTCACCCCTGGCTTCCCTGAAATCCACTTCTAGCTAAGCAGCCAGACTAATGACAGTTGGTATTAGTCCTCTCCTCTAAATCTCCAGAGGTTCCCCACCGAAGTCCTCATCATGAACCGTAGGACTCTGTTGTCTGATCCTGGTTACTTGGCCCTCCCTCCTGTTACCTGCCTCTTTCCTTCCTCATTCTTTCCCAGCCTCACTGGTCTCCTCGCTCTTCTTCACTGGCTTCTCTTTTCTGTCTGTAATGATTATCAACAACAGCCTTATTAGCTTTAGTTCTCTGATAAAATGCCAGCTTCTATGTGACTTCAGCAACACCTCTCCCAGCATTTGTGACTGCCCTTCTTTGACTTGTGTTTCTCTACATGATCCATGCTATGCTTTCCTTGTATTTTCATGCCCATGTTTCTGGATTCACTGTCCACTCTACATAGACAAAGACTCTTGTTTGCTTGGTTTGTGAGTCCCCAGCATCCAGTGCCTGGCACTTAAGAAGCATTCACCAAGGATCTATGCAATGAGTGGATGGAAGAATCTGAAAAAGGCCCTGGTGATCAGTACAGTGGTGGTGCTGAGGCAGAGGGGTGGGAGGCTGGCTGCCGGGAGAGAAGACATGAAAATTTTATTGAGAAGAGTGAGCAAGTAGGGTTTTGCAGTTGTGGGGATGGGAAGGATTCCAAGCAAGGGGGTATCTTGATCAGACCATTCTGGCATCCACGTGGAGAAGAACTCTGATGCACATTTTTAAGAAAACAGTGCAAAAGTCAGTAAGCTTCTACAGCAAAGATCCATTGTATATGTATGTTTCTTTTCCTCTGTAATTTCAAACTCACGTAAGAGAATAGGGGGCTCATACAGCTAAAAAGTCGAAAGATATTGTGGCTACAGGCATAGCTTGATCCCAGACTCAAATGCTATCAAGTTACCCTTTGCTTTTTTCTGTCATTCCCGTTTTTTATATTTGCTTATTTGTCAGCACATTCATCAGACCTCTTATGGCTCCAGACACTGGGTCCCTTCTCTCATAAGCCTCAGAGAATTTCTCATGGCTTTGTGTTGCCACTAATGGAGTCCCAGGACCATTTCTCAGGTCACCTTGATGGTCTCGGATGGATTGATCAGGCAACTTCATTTAGGATGCACGCTTCACTCTTGCACTGAGGCTTTCCAGAGGGAGTTTAGGACATAACTGCTATAAGAAGAGGGAAGTGGGATTTGTAATGGCCAACAGATGACCACTACAAAGGGGTAATGAGGGCTTGAACTTGGGTCACTGCTGTTAGAATGGAAAGAAATACAGAAATGAAATCAAGTAGACCTTCTGGCTCTACAGGGGAAGAGAAGAAGACACACAATGGCTGCAATACAACTTGAAAAGTTTAAGCTTATGTGACTGGGACTTGGAAATCCCATTAATAAGACTCAGGATAAAGTAGGAGGAACTGATTTAGAGGAGAAGGAAAGCGTTTTCTTGCTTTCTCATCCTTGTTTTTATTAATAAATTGTTTCCAGCTCCTCAGAGCTCAAGAGCAATTGAGCTCTGCAAGAGGCAGAAGGCAAATGCTTCCACCAACCACTTATTCTCAGAAGACTTGTCCCTGTGGTTTAAAAAACATCTCTCTGAGCCCATGTGTGAGAGAATCAGACTGAAAATGTATTTGCTTTCAAAAGCTTGAGTTTCCTCTTGTTGAACTACCGGGATCTATGGAGCAGAAAACCATGAGCCCGAGCTGGCTTCAGTCTTCTGTCATAGAAGATTTCCACATGGGTGACTGAGGGCCATCTCTTAAGGCACTGCATGTGGATTAGGCTTCGAAAATCTGGTGATGCTTATTAATAACATGCTAGTGGATACCCATGAAATTAGAAAGTGAGAAAAGCTTGTAAGTGGACTTGGAAATGGGGGCTTGTAACTATGAGCAGGAAAGGCTAAAGGCAGGCACTGAATGATAGAGACCAGTGCAAAGGTAGTGTTAGCAGTTTTATTTCTTTTTGGGTGTTTACCATTCACCCAGTGTGGTTTCCTCAATGTAAAATAAGTCACTAATCAGCACAGCCACTATTTTTGTCCCATTCTATCTCCATTTTACAGGAGGGAAAACTGACACTTAGCTTAGCTTCTTCTCAAAGTGCCTTGCCAAAAATAAGCCTAATAAGCTATGGGCTGATTATCCTATAGCTAATAAGTGTTGGAGCAAGAATTCAAGCATTCTGGCCCCAGGGCCTGCCCTTCTAATAAACTGATCAAATGTTCCAGAACTGCCCAAAGTAGTTGTAATTTTTGCCTGTTGTCTTGGCATAATTCAAAATATGAACTCTAGAAAGTATCCCCATTTGGACAATAAATTATGGACACCATTTCCCTTTGCTTTCTCAAAGCCAGGAACATCTAGTCTGCACAACGGAGGTATTCAAATGAGCAGGTTGTATTTCCAGGCATAAGAGGAATGACATTTTGAATTGAATATGATTATTTGATAACCGTCCTGTTTGTCCTGAGAATTAAACCAGCTGTATGGGTTGGTGGTGGTTTGGTTTTAACTAGTAAATCACTCTGCATTCTTATAACTTTTAAAGCTCTGTTTTATGATATCATAAAGTTGCCTCTCTGCAGGATGATTTTATTTATGCCTCAATACTTGGCTCCTCCAGGTTCCCCCAGATCTCCAGAACGAAGTGCTGATCAGCCTGTTAGAGACCGATCCTGATGTCGTGGACTATTTGCTCAGGAGGAAGGCTTCCCAATCATCGTGAGTATGCCAGTTTTCCACGCTCTAAAGCCATGCTGGGGATTTCAATTTCCATTCCTAAGGAATTAAAAATGTTTACATGACTCTATGCAGGAGTGGCTAAAGTGGAGTTTTAACAACTTTCTGGAAACTCCAATCAGTCCACCTAACCAGAACATGCTCTGGTCTTACCAGTCCACTTACCGAATTAAGGAACCACTTTACAAGACATTTCTGTTTCGGTTTCAGCTTTTTTAGTGCCTTAAGGTTCTTTTGACTGTATTTACTAGGGGAGGAAAACACTAAATCAATGGCAAGAAGCTCAAGGGACTGTATGATGCATCTCAGTGATTCAGTTACCAGAATCTTGATAACTGTGCCTTGGGGTAACTTACTTGTGCAGGTTTACCACGGGCCATGATATATTATCAAACCACAAGTGGGCCTTCACTGAAGCTACGTGCCCTTTCTTGGCTGCCTCACCATGTATAACTAGGATTCTTTGGAAGAAAATGCACACTGGTTTCCATAGTCACCCACATTTCCCATGAGGAAGAAGCAAGCCACACTGTAGGGTATGCTTGGCTATCATTTTTGCCCTGAAGGAGTACAAAACTTTTACAATAATTAGGTTTTATGTCTCATCCCAATAGTTACTTACAGAGGCAGAATATAAGTGGGTGCTGTGAATTTGGGAAAGCCAGTTAAAGGGATAATATCTTATGGTTAATTAGAAGTGTTATCACCACCAAGACACCAAACCTTCAATTTGTGACAGGGAAAGTAGTTGCTGTTATCTTATGAAAGTATCACTTACGTTGTGCTTTTTAGTCTACTGAATTTCAACAATTCTCAGATACCTTTCCCCTCAGGTTTTACAATCTTTAAAATTCATAGCATTCTTTCTTTCTCAGTCTTATATATAATAATAGTATATCTTATTCAGGTGTGTTTTAGAAACAATAAACTATCTTGTTATTTTTATATACTGATGTTGAGTGTGACTAATTAATGTTCATTTCCAGTTATTTTAGACATTAATACAATTATGTTATTTAGAGAAAGTTAATGAAAAGGGACTCCACATTTTTTGATCCCCTTCTGTCTCAGGCCATTACAGTAATAACCCTACTAATTCAGCTTCACTCTATTTCCAGCTAAGCAGGGAAGAGCTTATAATTGGATCACCCTTGCAAATGCACTTTTAAAAATTCAGGTCTGTGCCAATCACTATCAGGCCAAATTCTAGTTCAAGTAAGATGTTCTGCTCGAATTCAAGCCCCAACAGCCATGAGTGAATGAATATATATATATTACTTTGAATATATATATTGGGCTTGCATTTAAGTTTTTTCCTAGATTTCTGTCATCAAGAAGTAAGCTCTCATTCAAACTAACAAGTAGCCTTTCTTCCCAACAGATCATGTTCCACCAGAATTTTAACAAACTCACTGATTTATTTTCTCTGTGCATGAAAAAAGCCGTGGTAGCATTTTTCTTTCTGATTCTCTCATCAAGCTGCATTTATAACGTGTCCTTGGTACCCTGTGGAAAAGCTAGAAAACATTCACTTTAAAAAAACACTGATTTTTGACTTGTCAACATTTTGTTTTTGTGTGGCATTATTAGATAGATACATTTTGTACTCTAAAGACCCACTGATAGGAATCCTTGTTACATGGTTTTAAGTATGCTTTTTGCAGATAAATGCCAAGGTAAGACATGAACCTTTTTTGTCTACTGTTCGGAAAAGACGGGTGCGGGGTGGGGCTCATGCCAGGTTGCCTGATGGTCCAGCCTCTTTTGTTCCCTATCCCTGTGGGAGTAATAAGCACTACTATAAGGTCTAGGTGAACTGACCTGAGGCTAACATCTTAGGTGAGTGTTCGGGCCTCTGGGATAGCAGGAGAGCTGTGAGTGTTATCAGAGAACAGAAAACACTTGACATCACTTAATAGAGAGTAGTGGTTTTTGTTGGTTTTCCTCTAGATACAGGCCAAAGAACAGCCCTGAAGGCTGATCATAGATGTCACAAAGGAAAAGTGCATGCATTAATAAAGAACATTTATTTATAATGACCCGTTGAGACTCGAGAGAATCTTATCTCTCAAGCTATAGGTGGGCTCTGTGTGCCTTAAACATGCTTCCCAAATTTCACTGCTCGGACAGAGGCCCAGGAGATTTTGATACCATGTTCTTTTCTGTATCAGTAGACCTGGAAAGGAGGTCTGAAAATGTGTAATTCTAGGAAGCTCTGAGTAATACTGAGGATGCTGGCTCTGAGCTTTCAGTGGGGAAAACTTAAAATAGCAAGGTATTTTCTTGTCTATAAGCTGTGTCAGACTTTCACAGTGAAACATGATAGGTGCTGGACCCGTGGTCTGCAGTTCTCAGAGTGACCTGTCCATTTTCATCACCTGGGGAGCTTAAAAAACAGCTAGAAGACCACCCCCAACCCCAGAGATGCAGATGCATTTGTTTGAGTTGCAGTCTGGGTATCGAGAATTTTAAAAGCTCCTCACATGGTTCCAGTGAGCAGCCAAGGCTGAGAACTGCTGGCTCAGATCCACCACACTGGGTGCTATGGACAGCATTTACAATCACATAGGGACTCCTCGAGGTGGCTGCTATTTGATCTTTGGAAGCTACCTTTGTGTTGATAAAGGAAGCAAAACAATGTTCCAGATCATAAGTCCTCTTGGAGTTTAGAGAAGGGAAAGCGGTGTGACGTGCCATCTCAAGGAAGAAGAAGAGGAAGGATTTGTAGTGATCTGGGAAAATCGGAGTGTAACCAGCTTGGACATTTGGGGAATGAGGTCCTGACCATAGCAGTGAACATGTTGCCTGTCAGGGGACATAATGAGGAAGGTAGGAAGAGGCCATGAAACAGCAGGTTGGGAAGTAGCACTTAAGTCAGGAAGTAATGATGTAGGGTTACAAGTGACAAGAGATGATGGTAGTCACAGATTATAGTGAGGGTAAATTACAGTACTCCAAGCTACCAGATGGTGCTGGCTTCCTTGGCATATCAATTATCCATCAAAGCCATGTGCGTATGTCATTGTGTACACTGGTTACAAGCTTTAAGTTTAGAGACAGATCTCCTAAGTTCAAAACCCAACTCCAAGGTTATTAGTGCTACAATTGTGCATAAATTAATGTCTCTCTGTCTCCGTTTCTTTATCGATAGACTGGAGATAAAAGTAGCACCAACTTTATACTATGATTGTTTTCCTGAAACAGTGTCCAATTTATAATAAATGCTTAATAAATGTGAATAAGTATTATTGAGTCTCTTCACACTTTACCATTTGGTTCATTCAGTTACTTACCAAAGACTATCATGGTTTCTATGAGATAACCACATAGCTATTGATATGGCCAATTTTAAGTTGTGCCATTGTTTCTAAAAGCAAAGCTACTAATGCTTTTCAAGGCATGCCCAAAATCTCAGCTAGCTGAGTTGCTAGAGCATGAGAAGCTTAAAAGCAAAGCTCCTTATTCACCTCAGATACTTTGATGTTTCTTTTTCCTTGAAGAGGCTGGTTCCTCCCCCCGCCCCCCAAGCTCACATACCTAAAGAAAGCTTTAGATTCCTGTGAGGCCAAGAGGAAACTGCAAAAGATTTAATTTGGAAAGCAAAAGAAACAGGTTTTAAAGACTGTAAAACTAAGAACAAGAAAATATTTACTATTATTCTATTTCTATTTAGAAAGAGCAAAATTTTAGTAATAGTTGGGGACTGAATGTTTTGCTTTGATTCGGGTTTTTCTCCTCTATGCAACATCAAAATTGGAGGAGTGTAAGGAGAATTCATCATTTTTTTCATGCACTTGTCTCCTTAAATTTTTGGCTTCAACCAAAACGGGATGCCAAAGGGAGATTAGAAGAGATTTTTATTACGAAAGATGCAATATTTATAGTTTTCAAAAAATCGCTTGTCTGGTATATTTATTAGAATTATATACTCTTTTCTTCAAAGGTACTTAAAATAGAACACTGCCTTTGATTTAGGAATGTGAGGAGGTAGGAGATGGGGATGGGAGGTTAATTGAAGAGGACAAGGCAGGTCAGATGTCTGCATTTGCAAAAGAACAAAGGAGTCATAGCAGGGCTGGGTCTGGGGGAAGGCAAAGGAGGCACTTAGCCGGGCACGAAATTTAAAGGCATGCCAAACATCTCAAGCGTCAGCACTAAGCAAATGGAAATGTAATACTTTACAAAAATAAAGTTAATCTCCAAAATGAGCAATGAGCAAAATATCAATATTTTTTAAGAGACCAGTGCCATACTTAGTCACACTGGAGCCTAACGCCAAAGGTAAAATGCATGCCAGTGGCTTAAATGGAAGCCACTCATCAAACATAGTTTTCACATCGCCTTTGCTTAGCTCATTTTAACCAAGACAATTGCTAGGTTTGACAGTTTCTCTTGACCAGTGACAATCTCAAATAACTTTTAATTAGGTTAGCCTGAAATCAAATAATAATGAAAGTTTGTTTGGGTATAAGTAAGACTTGTGCGTTGTAAGTTTTAATATACCTGCTTTTAATTATTTCAGTATTTTTGACTGCTTTAAAGTTCTAAGCGGAAATTTAACCACACATAAAATTGTGTATAGAGGGGTGCACTGTTCTCTTTTTGTCTACGTGCTTCACTAGATCACTAGAATTTGACATAAGGGGTGCTTTCCAAAATGAATGTGACTTATGTGAAAATTCCTCATGAATCCAAAGCACAGGAGAGTTTAGCAGTGCTCAGATCATCTGTGACATGGTAACTGGCCCCAACAACAGTTCTTACAATTTTTAAATGTAGCTTTGAGAAAATATGCATCAGTACTTTTATTCTAGCAAACCTTATAGATGACCCAGAAATATAATACCAGCTCAGCAAATCTGAGGGTCTTCCCTGCTTCCTAGTCTAGGAAGAGGATCAAATCATTAACTGAATTTAAGGATAAGACAGTTATGAATGAACCAAACGTGCAGGTACATATTTTTAGATTTCATTGTTGTTAA